GCTCCTAAACTCACCAATACCTCTGAGACATTTGTGGAAGTCATGTACGCAAGCTCCTAAACTCACCACACAATGTCAGAGAATTTGGCGTCGCACTGACTGAGGAATGGAACAGGATAACGTCGACTGATCAGATGCATAATTTAAGAGTAACATGGACTGCATCGATACCAAATGGAGTCAAAGTCGTTACTTAGCACCTCCTACTGCCAAATGTGACTTTTTCAGACAAGTTGATCCAGTTGAAATCTAACCGTAACCACTTTGTATTTGACGAAACATTTGTTGTACAAGTTATAACTGCTAATATGTTGTCGACGAAACATGGTTCTTAACTTTAACTAGTCAGTAACTAGCGCTCCTAAAGTATAATCATTATATATATATAAACTTCGTTCTTCACTTGTGTGAGCTATTGATATATAAAATATATTAGTATATTTGTTATCAAGAACAGATCTACACAGTGGGTTATCTGTGTTGTGCCTATTACGGGTATCGAATTTCGATTTTTAGCGTTATAAGTCTCCAGACTTACCGGTGAGTCAATCACTGATTGGCATGTCCAATTTTATATAACACGACACAATAATTGGAACAGTTTATGAACCACTCATCAAAGTATATGGTCTCAACACACACTTAAATATCTACTTTACGTTCAACTTTTTCTAAACAAATGTAAAGTTATAAAATATTTGAAAATGAAATTATGCGTAAATTGGTAATTAGGCGTTTGATTATCCGTCGATATAGTTTTTGATTTTTGATTACTGTTCGCAGAATTGTTTCTTCTATTCCAGAAGCCCCCAGTGGCACAGCGGTATGTCTGCGGACTTACAACGCTAGAAACCGGGTTTCGATACCCGTGGTTGGCAGAGCACAGTTAGCCCATCGTGTAGCTTTGTGCTTAATTGCAAACAAACAAATCTATTCCCCCCCCAAAGTGTTATAGGCACTTGTGTATTGTCTAAAATTTACTAACTAATTAAAATCAACGTTTCATATTTACACAATTTTAAAATTTTTATTGAAGCCGTCAACGGCTTCCACTTTAAAAATACAATCTACATGTACAATGTTTCGACGTCCTCTTCAGGAGTTATCTACAAGACATACTAATTTATACATATTTTTTATTGTCACGTGATATTACATTGCTTTTGTATTTACATAATTCCTTAGTCAACCTTTATAATACAACACACCAAATATCAATGTATTGATTTGATGGTCTTTTATCTCTGTTTAATACCGTATTTTTCGGAATATAAGACGCACCGGTGTATAAGATGCACCCTTTTTTATTGAACAAAAATTCAATTTGATACTTTAGAAATTAGTATATATTTTTCTAAACACAAAAGAGCTCAAAATAAGAAAATAACGTAAATAAAAAAAAAAGGTTTACTGTTATATAGTTTGGTTCAAACCTACAAAATCTTCATTGCTTTAACTGTAATTTATTTTTTTATTATTTAGGGAGCATTATAAATAGTTATGTTTTTAAAAGAAAAAACTACTATTGTTATAAATAACACATTCAATTGAACTAAACTATGCATGCTTATTTAAATATATTTACACATGGCTTGTGTATATCGTATACATACATATATATTATTCATACCTTCGGTGTATAGGACGCAAGCAGATTTTGACATCAAATTATGGAGAAAAAAGTGCGTCTTATACACCGAAAAATACGGTACTTCTTTTAACATCACACCAAATATCAATGTATTGACTTGATGGTCCTTCATCTCTGTTTAATACTTCTTTTTACATCACACCAAATATCAATGCATTGCTTGATGGTCCTTCATCTCTGCTTAACACTTCTATTGACTTGATGGTCCTTTATCTCAGTTTAATACTTTTTTACATCACACCAAATATCAATGTATTGACTTAATGGTATTTTATCTCTGTTTAATACTTCTTTTACATCACACCAAATATCAATGCAGTGACTTGATAGTCCTTCGTCTCTGTTTAATACTTCTTTTAACATCACACCAAATATCAATGTGTTGACTTGATGGTCCTTCATCTCTGTTTAATACTTCTTTTTATATCACACCACATATTAATGCATTGAATTGATGGTTCTTCATCTCTGTTTAATACTTCTTTTTATATCACACCAAATATCAATGTATTGACTTGATGATCCTTTATCTCTATTTAATACTTCTTTTTACATCACACCAAATATCAATGTACTAACTTTATGGTCCTTCATCTCTGTTTAATACTTCTATTGACTTGTTTAAGGTCCTTCATATCTGTTTAATACTTCTTTTTGTTTTTCAAATTTTATTATTTCTAGTGAGTCTCTGACATTTAAACCTGTAATATTACGAGGTTGAGCTAAAATTGTAGATTGTTTGCCATACAATTTTGTGTTGTATTGTTTTTACATGTTCCGCTATAGCAGTTTTCGATTTTATTATTTCTTACATTACCCTGATATTCTAGTAATCTGTATTTTAAATTCCTTTTAGTTTGGCCAACATAAATACTCCCACATTCACATTCTATTTTGTAAATCCCAGTTTTATCTTCTAATGCTATTTTATCCTTAGTTTTCCCCAACATTTATTTAATCTTATTTATAGGTTTAAAGATGTGATAAAAGTTTTGTTGTTTCTTAAAAGTTTTAAATATCTGACCTGTTAATTCTGGAAAATAAGCTAAACTTAAGGTTTCTTTTTTTCATAAATACATCTTAACGTAGTATTTTAAACTAACATTAAACCTTTGTTAAATTCCTTAAATGTTCTATGTTATATATTTGGTTCAAATCCTCTTTCAATAGCTACATATTTAATTATTAATATTTCATTACTTAAATCTTCCTGTCTTGAACATATATATTTAAAGTTCTGTCAACGCATGTATAAAATGCAGAGATGTTTTGCGTTTTTATATGACATGATTCCAGAAATACTGTACATGTAGAGTATATTTTTAAGGTGGAATCCGTTGACGGCTTCAATAAAGTTTTTAAAATTGTGTAAATATGAGACGTTGATTTTAAATATCTATTAACCCCCCCCCAAAAAAAAGGCCTATGTTACGCCGAGCATGAAATTTTGAATCCATTGAACTTTCAACCTTCGTTACTCTTAAGAGTAAAGATTATTTTTCATAACTTCTGACGATAAATTTCTTTACAAAACAATCAGATGTTTTCGTTGTTCATTATTCAAGATTAAAATGAACATCAAGATCTAATTATGCCCTTCAATATATTCAATAATAAACAATGCCAATGAAACAGAAATCTTCGGGTAAGATTTATTTCAACTGTACTTTGAATAATAACATAAACATGAAAGACAACATAATTACGATTTCGTCACAGTACATACACAACCAATACGAGTGACATAAGATCTGTGTTCAGAAGGTGCAAGTCAAAACTGTAACCAAAAATATAATATTAGATACTGGTTAAAAATGTTTGTAATAATACTATTCGTAATCTAATTTAATTTAACAAACATACAAAACAAACAATATCTCAACTAAATAAATTGGATTTCCGAGATTTTGTTTTAAAGCCCTGTAAATTCATTTATAGTACACATTTTAAAAACGTCTTAATTTAGAAAAAACAACAACAACATTACCGAAAATGTTCAATACTCATTATTCTTGAATAATATGAACTTCATAAAATTGAAACGACAGAGAAAGTGCGCTGCGATTACGTTGTAGTATTTCCAGTTTAAAGGTACTCTCCCATATTCTATTTATCAACTTAAAAAACTTTAATGAAGAATGCCTCAGATAATGTATTTTAGCTATTAATATGTTATTTGGATAATAACATTATTTTAATGTTAGGAAAGTATTGATTGAAATCACGAAAAAGAGAGAGTTGATCACAACGACACATTCAATCTTGAAGACAACTAGCATTAACAACGAAGGAATAAAACATTTGACAACAGTCACTCTTAGTCAACATACATTACTAGACAGAAAAACGTTTCAAACAAATCAACTTGACGTTTTAAATAATCTACAAAACAATACAGTCTCTTAAGATCAATTCAGCTGCGCCAAACCACGTTGTTTTACAATATAAAGAGCACATGTCTTCCACAATGTGTCGTTGCATGGTGATGTGTTCATATATAGTATTCGTAGCGATTCCAGAGAGGGTGGGGTGAGGGGAAAGGTTTGTTTAGTTTCGGATGTTCGCGCAAAGCTTCGCAAGGCTATCTGCGCTAGCCGTTCGGAAATCTGAGCTTATAGACTAAAAGGAAGGCAGCTGGTCAACAGCACCCAACAGCAACTCTTGGAATATTCTTATCTGACCAAATAGTGGGATTTGATCGTTACCTAGAATCCCAAAGTGTGTTAAGAGTGACAACAACGCGATGTAAACCATGGATTTTTGTCTCACAGTTCGGCACGCTAAACACTAGGTCCTACCCGGTCAGGGAAAACAGAAGAAATAGGAAAATCAAATGTCAGAACTTTTCTTACTACCTCTGCATATTTTCATCTGAAATTTATGTCTTTCACGAGGTGTTAACAAAGGTGAACGTATAATACAAAATGGGGGAACTTTAAAATCGTTTTATGGAAGATTTGGCTTCATTTCCAGACAGAATTTTCAGAAGAAGCCTGAAATTACTCTTCATTGCAATTAAATGCGCATTGAAAAAAACACTGAGCGTTCAAAGTAAGTATACTTTCATTAACCAAAACTATTCTGGACTTTAACTGTACAGAGAGGTCGTAAAGTTAAGTAAATGAATCACGTTTAATTAGCATCACCATTAATTCGTTTGGTAAATTATTTCAATGGCATAAGTTTTTAAATTTTTTAACTTGTACTATAAAAATATGAACTACACAGACTGATAATAATACGCATATGTTGAATTGGCAAATAACCAATTGTTCAGTGATTTTTAAATATAACTCAGTATATCTGATAATAAAAATTATATAATATCTAATTATTGTTTTTATAACCATTGTAAACTAAAATGTTTTTAACTTTAATGCTAAGGTTTAGGATGATAAATTTTTCATTTGTATTGAAGTAGAGATTGGATTTTTTTTCTTCCGATGGCTATAAAGTAATGAGAGTTTAGTCAATGAGAAAGAAAAAAAAAGTACAATGTGAACATTGGTTTAGTATGTTTCGTATGTTCGCGTAAAACTATACGAGCTACCTGTGCTAGCCGTTCCTAATTTTGAAATAATAGACTAGAACGAAGGCAGCTAGTCAACAGCACTCACCGCCAACCCTTAGGCTAGTCTAACCGAACAGTGCGATTTTGACCGCCAATTTTGTAATGTACCCATGACACCACAGTCTGGAGCACAGTTTTTTCGGCAACGGTTCACGAATCATGAATCCTTGAATCCACAGTATGGCACACTAACCACTACTAGGTCAACGTGACGATAAAAACATGAAATGTATTAATATCCCAGTTTGTACATCACGACTGTATGTATGTATGGTTGATACTGAGGAACCTGAGAAAACTCCTTGTCTGTGATAGAGTTCACAGCTCAGAACCCACGTTTCTTTACATACAAGACACATGTTTCTGTAATAAGCTAAATGGCGTGATATGATTAGGTCTGTGCACAAGTTTCAAACCTACTTTGACGAACCCAGAGATTGTGAATCCCTGTCACAACTTATAATCACCAAACTAACAAATCAGCCTTGAAGCAATGCTTCGAGCAAAATCATCACTTAGCAAACAATGCAAGTAGAGTTTATATGAGTTAAGAAACGGTACTTTATAATAAATTTTATTTGTGTTGATTCACTAGAAGTTTTCAACACAATTAACATTAAATTGACCACAATAGTTACTTCTTTGTAAACTACAAGTTGGTAAATTATGAACCAAATGATTGTTTAACAATGCATGAATGAATGAATTCTTACCAGTCAACGTTTAGAAGAATGCAATATTGATTCGTTGTTGGATAAAGAAATCGACAATATTGATTCATTGTTAGATATAAAAAAGTTGACAATTTTAAAGTGAACGTCTTTAATATCTTTCAATGTAAAGAAACTGACTTATTGACGGCAAATTGAAACTTTTCACTGATCTTAAGATAGACTGGAAAACAGCAAACATTATGAAAAGGATAATAAATACGACTTATCAGCAGAAGAAATAGGTCTAATTTTAGTACCCGCGTTTCATTGTATCAGTTTTGTTGTTGTTTGAAGTTAAGCACAAAGCTACACAATGGGCTATTTGTGCTCTTCCCACAACGGGTATCGAAACCCGGTTTCTAGCGTTGTAAGTCCGCAGACATATCGCTGTACCATTGGGGGGGTGTATCAGTTTTATCAAGGGGTAGCTATGTTATGATGTAACTGGTGGTGTGGAATTTAACTAAGTGAAAAAGAGGTATACTTTTTTCCTTCTTACTTTAATATATTTTCCTTTCGGTGTTTAGTAGTGCCACCTAACGGATGGTAAAATTTAAATGCGATTTATAACATTCTAGTTTTAAGTTCTATGATTATGGAATACACAACACTTGAAAATTGACAATTATGATAATTAATCTCACATGCCAGTTCGAGACGTTTCTTGTGTACAATTCATGTTTCTTTTGTTTAAGAGCAAAGCCATATTAGAGATATTTTCTGTGTTCACCGCGGGGAATCGAACACCAGATTTTAACGTTATAAGTCTGTGGACTTATCGCTGTCCCACCGGGAGACACAATTTATGTAACGAGAGTTCTTGGTGCAAATATTAAATATTCATACATTTCTACATGTGATATACTATAATTCTAAATTAAAAATAGAGTTTTAATTTATGTTTGTGTATCATAGTAAATCTACTTCGGGCTGTGTCGATTCCCTGAATTACCGCTGTCCCACTGAGTGACTGTAATTTATGAAACATCTATACAGTGTGAGGTTTTTAAAGCAGCATTTGCATCCAAGATATACGATAATGTCCTTTTTCCTATGGACAAATAACGCATTGACATCTCTTCTTTCCGTTACATAAGGCAATAGTATCATTTCCCTAGGGCAAAATTAGAAAATGTCTTTAACTGATGCACATATGATTTACTATAGTGTTGTTTCCATAGGATACTTATTGAGAAGTATCACTTCCCTACGATACAAATATGATATCATTAGCTTACTATGATATAGTTCAAATACAATACAGTAGGTTTATTCCTTACAGTACAAATATAATTTTATAATAGTAACCCCCCCCCCAATGGTATAAATACGACAGTACCCTTTTTCTGAAATTCAAATACGATAGTCTTTTCTCTACAGTACATTCGCGACACTGTTTTTTTCTTAGAATGAAAACAAAACAACGTTCGTTCCTTTTCTTTCAGTATAAATTCGTTATTGTCTTATCCCTACAGTACAGATATAATAGTGTCCGTTCAACACGGTGCAAAATTTATACACATATATATATAGTACGTAGATAGGAGATTATCAAATTAAACCAAAGATACGTTTAATATCATATATTCAGCCTCACTTGATGTTGCAATTTTTCAAATGTTTTCGACTTATACTAAACTTTATTGATTACTAATACACAGTTCCCTCAGCATTCGACATTGATTTCAAGAAGATACATTGTGATGAAACATGAAAATAAACATAAATTAGTGGAATATAAGCAGATAGAAGTTCAGATACAAGTCCGGACCAGTTCTACAGCTAAACACGGTAATACTGAAGGTTTCATTACTGACACTTCTCAAACAATAAATTAAACACTTCCAAAAATAAAGAACATGTAACACCAATTGGAACAATATTTTGATGTTTGTGAAATTGAACTTGTGCTACAGCACATTTTGAGGGATGCTAATGTGTAGCACTTCCTTACACATTACGTCACCCATCAATCAATTCTTCTCAGGCTTTCACATACATACAAACATATACAGCTACGTGCTACCCGATATGACAAACAGATACAATTTTGTTTATAGCGACATTCACGAAACTTTGCTTGTAGCTAAAATGAAATAAAACGGAAAAATTCTTAAACACCGTGGACTCATTGCATAGTTTTAGATGTACATTATAAAATTGTCGTACAGAAAATTTTGAGCACAACAGCTAAGCCCCAGTGTTTGAAACAAAATGGCGTTCCTCTTAATCTTCTGAAGGAGTGTCACCTGTAGGAGTGAAAAATAAATCAATTGGTATATATGTTTTTACTTGACAAAGATTTAACTAAAATCATTACTAAATGTCAATGAAATAATTACTTGTAATAGATACCGCAGGAATGATATTAACAAAACACAAAATGTATGAACATGCCAAATCAAACAGTCAATGACATAATCAGTAATTATAACAAGCTATAAACACAATAACCTGCCACATCAAGCGCCATCTCTAAAGACACATGTACACTATTTGCTTGTTGAGTAGAACATGTTTCTATGTCGTATAGAAAGTGGATGTATATATTATTTTTTCTTTAGTTCCGAGGCCGCTTACGATTACTGGGGCACCTTAGATGCTAATACTTCATACTCGATTTTCAACCAGGTTTACCTGGTGACGCTCATTTCTTTTCAGGTAGCCGTCCCTAATTTAGCAGTGAAAGACTAGAAGGAAGGTAGTTAGTGAACAACACCTACCGCCAGCTCTTGGGCTAATCTTTTACTAACGAATTGTGGGAGTGCCCGACCCATTATAACGCCCTAACGGCTGAAAGGACGAGCATGTTTGGCAACTGGGATTTGAACCTGCAGATTACCAGTCGAGCGCCATAATCACCAGGCCATATATATTCTAATACTATAATTATTACAAAACATTAAAAACCACCAGTGTCTCAATCAAAAATAAAATAACGTCACACACTAAAATCTAAATCAACAGACTAATAAAAAAGTTTTACCAGTCAATGGAAATGTTGATTATTGAAAAAACCTGCGTACTGGTTTGTCGAGGACATCGAATAAAAGAAAAAAAGCGTTGGTTAATGAAAAGAAAACTTTTTTTACAGAAGGAGAAAAAATCCTCCCGAAAGATGGGCCGTCATTTTTTACTCCCATTTAGTTTTTATTCCTATTTTTTAAGTTTACAGTTTTAAACGATCAGGAGGGTAAGTACATTTTTCTTGAAGGCAATTTTAAGCAGGGTTTGCAGTCGGTACAAGTATAGTATATCATATGCTGAGAGTAATATCTGTTATCACATGTCCCATCTTGGGAGTTTTGACCTAATGCTTCCTCTGATATTTCAGCTTCGTTTTTCACAGAATTATAAATGTTTGATGTGGTAGTTTTGAGTTCAAACTTCAGTCGATAAGCGAATCTCACCGTGAAAATCGGCAATAGCATGAAATATGGAAAACTGGTGACTCCCACGCTCTGGACATTTTAGTGAGTTATATTAAAAATTTAATTAAACTACTTAATTATCATGATATACGAACAATCTTGACATCAAACTATGGATAATAAATCAAAGTTTAATATTATATAAGTTTTAAGTATGTAAAATATAATGTAAAGTAAAATATTCTATATAATTTCGTCATCGATATTTTGAAGATATATTTTTATATTCTTCAATCTTATGGGGGTAAAGAGCAATCAATGAAAATTCAGAAACCATTTTCCACTTCTGCCTCTGACATGCTCTAATTTACAATTTGCCAATAGATTTTTCTGAGGCTGACTCCCATTAAATTTATAACCAATAGAAAGCCTAGATTTCAACTGATTCATTGCCATAGTCGTCATACCACGTAGGCTTACAGATAATTGTCAATTTGGTTTGATGTGAAAAAAAAGTTTTCCCAGGAGAACAACTGGGAAGAATAGTTGAATTTCTAACTGCTCAAGTCACATGATTATAAATGTTCGAGTACCGGTACAAGCAACCTGGTACCACAGGTACTATCCCAAACCCTGATTTCACTACATTTCATTCAGAGGTAGTAGTTTTTATTTCCATTCCAAGGCAAACGTACATTTAAAAACACAAAGATCTTCTAACCTTTTAATTTCAACAGACTGAAAATAGTCTACGTAGTCCTGAAAAAATAACGCAAGCCTTATATTTCAAATGTGTAGGTTTGGTTTGAATTTCGTGCAAAGCTACACGAGGGCTATCTGCGCTAGCCGTCCCTAATTTACCAGTGAAAGACTAGAGGGAAGGCAGCTAGTCATCACCACCCACCGCCAACTATTGGGCTACTCTTTTACTGACGAACAGTGGGATTGACCGTCACATTATAACGAGCATGTTTAGTGTGACGGGGATTGCGATTCAGGCGCCCTAACCACCTGGCCATGCCGGGCCAACTGTATAGGTAAAAGTTACACAAACGTTTTCAAGGAAGAATAATTTAAAACGTATTTCTGACTAATGAGTAAGAGTATATATATATTTAGACATTTTAAAACAAGTATAATCTAACTCTTATTAATGAGCAAAAGTCAACAATATATTTTAAAACACGGACAATCTGAATATTTATATCAAACTAATAAATATTAATCCACACATACGTTCGGAAATAATGATAACCTAAGTCTTCAATGACTTTTGTGTAAAAAGTCTCCACAATGATCTTAGAACAAGCAAGAATAATGTAACCCTTATGATAAAAAAAGCAAGAGGGAATCCTCAATAACCGCGGCACTTGAAATTCTCTTAGGCAGGATTAGAGTAAATTAATGTATGAGACCTTTTCCCCCTTTTAATTAGCTATATTTTTGTGCGTCAGCAATACCAAGCGTGGGACGCGCTTATACTCGATTCGATTTTATTACTCATCACGGTCTCTACCGGCATACACTCAAATTTAAATTCTTTTAGGCAGGATTAGAGTAAATTCATTTATGAGACCTTGAGCGTGGTCAAATACATCAACCGAAAGGATTGACCTTCTGAGTCCAAAACTGTAATTAGAGGTCAAATTGGTCAAGAGATGACAGAGCTATGAGCTAAAATTTTTTACTTCAGAAAACAACAACAACAACAAACAAACTCAGAGCTATTCTATGAGCCGCTATGCCGCGGCTAAAAATTGAAACGAAGAGAATCTCTCTTATCTTCTTAGTTAAAGGTATAGAAACTTACATCGATATCCTTTATTTCCAGCCAATAAATGAAAATATTTTTAAAATAAATGATCATTTATATCCGATTTTTGAGCTAACTTCTGTAAAGATATTTTAAAATAATGGTAATATAAATCTTTGTTTCTCAATAATAAATTCAAATAGATGTTTCAAACAAACCTCATACTTAAATAAATTAAAATCATTAACATTTAGAGACAGAGTAATGAAACCTTTATTTCCAAGTAATGCGGGAGCGTATGTAGCCTAGTGGTTAGCTTGCCGGGCTGCGTATCCAAAGGTCTGACCAATATTTGAGCCACAAAATGCTGCTGAACACGCATTTCTTATTTCATCTGTGGGGGCGTTAAAACTGTGAAAGTAAAACCGGCTACTCGGTTAAGAATGGTCAAATAACAGACTGCTGGCTGATTGGCCTCCATTTGGTAAGCAGTTCTATATTAAAGATATCTATGTTCGAACCTCAAGGATATCTGATCTAGCCGTTTAGCCCATGTGTCGTATAACTTGCCGCTCACGTTGAAAATATCAGTCCCAATCCAACTAATGCGAAGAAGTTTATAAATGTATGCTTTATAAAAAACATTAGCCTTTATTTCTGACCATTGAATAAACGTCTATATAAAATATTTTGAAATAAAGTTGTTCTGAGCTTTTCTATTAATTCAATAATCGTAAAAGGACATTTTGAAACCAAAATAATCTAAGCCTGTAAACACACCTGAGCTCAGTGAGAGAAGACGAAAGTTTATCGGTACCGATCCTCGCCTTTGTTGGTATCTCGCAGTGCTGGCAATCCCTGAGGAGCTTAAGAATCCGCCTGTGGTAACTGAAAACCTACCGCTACTGCACATAGTGTGGTTAAGAGCGTCAGTGACAGTAGGTTGGAGAAGCCATTCAGAATAACCTGAGGAGTCGAGAGAGCACGACTGCCGAAGTAGTTTAACCCGTTGTTTATATGTGCACTGTTCTGGAGATTTCTCCTGAGTTTTTGAGTGCCAAAATCCTGAGAAGAGTTCTAATCCTCCGGAACGACGACGAGGAAGGCCTTGAAATTCTGGATGACGGGAATTGATTACCATTCCTTGATTTACAGCCTTTTGCCCTCTGCTGGATCCTGCATTTAATCCTTGAAAATTTAAGCGATTACCTGTCGGGCACAGAAGTACTTGTAAAATTTCCCCCATTGATTTTCTTCTACAAACCAAGTTTTCTGAATGAGCTTCTCTCTCTAATTTCTGAAGCGCTTCCATTTCAAAAGTAGGCCGTGGGCGCGTGGGACTCAGTGCAGGCTTCAAGCGGCTCATGAGAGAAAGGGGCACGTCCACGGGGAGGGAGCCTCGTCTTCTAGCCAGTTGTTTTATAGATGGCGAAATGCATGGAAGGAAAACGTCTTGAGTTTCTGAGCTGAAGCTGCCTTCTTGATCGTTACTGTCTATTTCGAAGGTCCCTTTGCTGCTGAAGCTACGATGAATCGTTCCTGGCTGAACAGAACTATTTCTTCTGGTGCTGCAGGTGGTTCCCGTGCTGGTTGGGGCAGTGCTAGACCCATCGTTTTCCGATTCTGAAGATGGTACCACAAGCAAGTTCTCGAGTAATCCAAAACTATGACGTCGAATCAGTTCTTTTCGTAAATATCGTTTATTATAACGACAATTTTCATCTTTTTTGTTTTTCAAGTTTGAAGACAAGGAATCAGGAAGAAAACCTTGAATATAAAAGTACGTTTGAATGCATAACATAATCGCACATAAACTACACACAAGATTTTAAAGAAATATCGTTAAACGAAATAGGAGCTGGTGTTTTATGTTTGAAAAAAGATAAGCTTTGTACGTTTGTAACGCTTCATTAAGTAAATGTAAAATCATTTAATAGTGTAACAGAATAATAATGGCTGGAGACGGCTTAAATGGGTAATGAAGAAAAACTTTAATATAAGTTTAACATGACAGCAAATGTACAACGTTTCGACATTTGCTGTCATGTTAAACTTATATTAAAGTT